TTTTAAGTTATAACTCATTGTATATATGAAACTGTTGAGTTTTTTCGATTCATATAGAAACAATATTTATTGAAAAAGTTTTAAAATTGCTTATGATTTCGTCGTAATGTCACACGTTAGCTCCTATATCTTTTATTCCATTCTATTTTCCTATGGCTCGGTTTTTTTTTAGCTGGAGCACTACTGAGCGTGCAGTATATAATAACACACTCTACGGGAAGCGTATTAACTGAACTTATCAGAGTTTGGTCCAGGACGTAACGTAACTGGTTTGGGTTTTATGAGCTTTACAACACATAACCTAGTTATTTGTTGGTGGAAACTTGATATTGCTCCAAGGAATTTTGTGTCGTGAGTGAAATTTCGACATCTACTAGGTACCTATTAGTCGATGAAAAACCATCACGGGTTTAGATAATGCCGATGGGCTAATTGAAATTCTTAACCTACCTGTTGGTCTCGACCGGCATATAAACTTCCAAACCTGATAATGCTCCGTGGATGTTAGACTCTCAAATGTAGACCACGAATCAATCTAAATCCTTTAGGCTCTAGTTGATGACAATTCTCGACGGATCGCGTATGCGAACATCGCTTGTACCGAATTCGTATAGCGTCTGTATATCCGCCCACAGGGCGCTCGCGGGTAACTCTCACCGAAAAATAATACGAACCCTCCGGAAGAAATATGCGTGCCGTCTCGGGAAAAGTTCGCTATATAACATTGCGGACGGCGAGTACACAATAGGGTCAACCGGACTAGCTGCACACATATATAAAAAATAATAAGTGTGTAAATGTATGGCGACGGCCGAATTTGTTTCTTTTTCTTTTCATTTCATATTTTAAAACCGACCAAGTACATAAGTAAGGGTACAGAGCGTATATTAGACTATATATCCCGAAGCAAAAAAGATAAACGCTAAAATAATATTATACTCGTATATCCACTCATATGACGACGGAAATATTATTTACAGTGTTAAATATAATTCATTTTTTATAGAAAAATACGCCCTTATCTACACTTACCGTCTCTAAATCGGTAATAAGTTTTAGAAAATTGCAATTTATACGCACACTTTAAGACCTACATTTGTGCTAGATTTCAAGTATTCACCTACACAGAAATCGCTATAATTTTAATAACGAGTGAGTAATGAACATGTAAAATTTTAAACCCTCCACTTTTGAAACGACTTAAAATTTCGAGCTTCATTTATTTTAGTGACATAAGACACTTAAGATTAATCTACGTATTAAATTACAAAAGCCCACCTTAAGAGTAAACAAAGATATGGGGGTGACAATACACGGGTAATTGGTTAAGTATAGAATATAGGTACGCTGGCATGATTGCTGGAACTTGGCCTTGCGCATTGCTGTACGCTCAAATACTCTTAAACAATTTATTTTGGCGAATGCGTCCCCGTCATGTAAACGATACGTGCAATTTTCATTTTGTTTTGTTATTGCTACGGATTTTCCCAGAGCAAAAAAAAAAAAATAACGAAACAAATATTAAGTATCTAATGTCGGATATTCATAGCTGGTTTAGTGTACACTTAAAAAAATTGATGGAAAACACCATCAATATAGTAAAGTATAAAATATATTATTTGTGTCGTCATCGACAGGAAAAACTTCCAATTTTAACTTTAAGTAACCTCACCCGATTTGTCTGGTAGAAAAGTTGTTCACAGATAAAAAAAAAAAACATCATTGTAAACCCATAAGCTTTTTTACGCGAAAAATAAAAGATAATTATAATTACCGAAAATTGATATTTATTTTGTCCACTCTAATGATTTATTTGAGAGTATAAATTATTTGTAAACTATTTCCCCTCCACCAATTTCGGAAAGCGCCGAAATCATAAATTTGACAATATTATCGGGACGTGTTTTCGCGTCAACGACGAATATATTAAGGACTTAAGGTATGCCATTTATTTTATGTACTCTCCGGAGAACGGGATATTGCCGCAGTAGATTTTATCCGTTCCCCGTTCGATTTACCGTTTCGTTTGGCGTTTCATAATATTACGCCCCGCTAAAACGAAAGTGTATGTTTTATATATTCTTTTAATAATTCGATTCCGTCAAAGTGATTTATTATTGTGATGAAGAAACGTCGCCGTCCGCGTAGTTTTGCACGTAAAGTATTACACAATATTATATATAGCAGCAGACAGTACCTAGTGTATTTATTTGTAATTTAAAACCGAACAAGTTACCGTTCGAAAATATACTATAATAATAATAATAATAATAATGAAATTGTTCGGCTGACCGACTGCAAAACATCGTACGCGCTATTTATTCAACAAAAAAAAAAAAAGCAATTTCGAACTTATTTATACCCATAAAAGTGCGTTTCATGAGATAAGAAAATAGATTGAAGCGCGCCCGGTGGTCGAAAAATTATATTTCAGTGTCGTTCAAACGTCGCGTGCGCTCGTCAATCGATGCCGCAGGCAAATGAATATGTTGAGAAGCCGTATTGAATTTTGGCTATAGGTCGCGCCACAGTCGAGTCTCTAATTTCGTGAAACGTACTGTGTAATATTTAACTTCGCTGGTGAATAATTTTATTCCATCGTACAAATCCGTTGAAATATCGTTAAAAAAACATATTGTACTGTACGCATTGTAATCGTCTTGTTCCTGGTCGTCAGGCGCCCTAATTGCAAAGTGCTCAGGTGAAAAAAAGAAAATTACGGAAAAAAGAATTACGAATTTCTGTGTAATATTGCTCGTGAACGTTTCGATTGTGTCCGTTTCACGCTACAGAAGACGTATAATGTTTTCTCGTGAAAAAGTATAAAAGTACAATTTTATTAAAATGATTTCTCACTATATATAATTATTATGTGTCGCGCATAATATAAAACACATTTTATAATCGTTTACTTCGACATTATACCCGTAGTCTTCGAATATCCGTAACTCAAATTATTATATACGAACGCTGTTGTAATAAATATTTTGATGATAATGGCCGAAACGCATTAAAGTTATATTTCCCGCGGGACAAATACGACAAATTATTGTATTTTTCTTTTTTATTAACTGTAGAATTACCTCCGAGAGTCCGTTTTCCCCGAGAAGATTAAGACGCGATCAATACGGTTTTAAATAGAGTGTATTTCTTATACTCGTACACGGAGGTTAAGTAAACCGAAGGAAAATATGCGACACCTTAAAATGACGTAACTATTATTGCAAATAATAATATTATCACGTTACGTTTTGAATATATAGTGTATCTATTATGTGTTCCGACGAAAACCTCGTGCCGGATTTGTAAATTTCAATTTTTTGTATACAGTTGATTTAGGACTTTGTGTTTTGATGATTTATGATTTCCCATCGGTTAGACGGATTAAAAAAAACGAATTTAATATTGTTCATTGAAAGAAAACGCACGAAAAATACGAGCCACATTTCTCTATACCTACGTTATTACGAGGTATTTAATATGGCCGTATCGGCCCACGGCGACGGGCCAGGATCGATTTCGAACAGACTTGTTACGGAATATGTTACTACACGCCATGAGCTATAATCTGCGCGGGTCGGGGGCGGGGGTGGAGGGGAGAATGAAAACCTCGGGGCGGAAACGAAAAGACGAGCGAAATTGAACGTTTCGACTCGCCCGCGGGGCGTCGCCTCATTCGCGTGCCGATAATCCCCGTGCCCGCGAGAACGATACCCGATTCCGGTAATTCCGAGCCGTAACGTACCGTCCGGATTATCTTTCGGTGCCCTAGAGTCGTCTCCGCGGTCCGGGAAGCGCGTTTACAGACGTGTAGCCGTTTGTATGCCGTCGTAAACCGCGTTTATCGTCTAATGTAATAACTCGGCCGCGCAAGGTGCGCGTACCTACCGGCGCTGAAATGTCAACGGCGCCGTCCTTCCGTCGCGGTCCGCGACCGTACTGCTACAAATACGTTACGGCCCGGGAAACTTGTCGCGAGAAGGGCCGGCGACTCCGCACGCCCGTACGTCAATAATCGCGATATTATCATGTCGCGCGGAAACACGCCGAGTGTGTCGATCGTCTGCGGTGCGCGGCCGTCGGTACCGCGACACAGACCGGACGTGACGTTTCGCCGCGGTGCCAAACCGTTCGCTTTCAAAATGTAACGCCGCGGATCCCGTGCCGCGGTTTTCGGCGCATTATTGGCTTTCGCGTCTGCCCGGCGATTCGCGCCCGGAGCGCGACGCGGTACTGTAAACGGTTTTAAGTTTTAAAGGTTTGTGCACTCGGACCGGGAACACTAACTTCCGCGGAACGGTATCGGGTCTGGACCCGACCGACGATTTCGCGTTTCCGACGGCGGTATTGTTGCGGACCGTTACGGATACCGATTCCCTTATTGTTTTCCCAATAACAGAATATATATATCCCCCGGGCGTGTATAATACTAAAGTATTTTTTTTTTTTTTTTATGAAAAAGAGGTTTTAAAATAATGCCGTTACAAAATTGACGACGTGGTGAAATGAAAAGAGTTTTGACGACGGATTTCAATACAGCGTGGAGCGTACGCGAGATCGGCCAGGCCGTTTTCCTTTCAATTTCATTATACTTTTTTTTCAAAAACTTTTAAATTATTATATTACATTTCCGAAATGCGAGTAAAGCGGGCTGGTCGATCTCGTATTTTCAGAAAACGCTTAAATCACTTCGGTAAACCGATCGAACTGTCGGATAAGAAAATTGTCAGCGTCCGAATGTCACTACGGTGCGCGCGTAATACGATGTGCACGACAAAGAAACGGATCAGATCACATACGGAGATCCGCGTTCCGTTTCGAATCTCTCTTCGAGCCACAGTGAAATTCGTCGTAGGCAACACTCGTGCGGCTAACACGCGCACGCGTCGTACGATCACGGGCAACGCGACGAAAAGTACATTGTAACGTTATTGTGCGATATAATAATAATTTTTAGCATTTTTAGCTTATCGGAGCGTCTCGGCGGCAACAGAAAAACTATGGGCTCCGATGACCGAATACAGTATTACGCGACGCCGGACGCGCCGTTCCGTCAACCGAAATCCCGTAACGAAAACCCGAACGAAAATCCGCCCCGGTACGTGGCAATAGCGACAACGGCAACGCCGTCGGCTCGCCGTTTGCGTACATTGTACGCGCGGCACGCGTTAATCCCGGACACGTCTCGATGCCGTGCTCACGAGTGTGTACTATGCGTAGCCGTGGCGTACACATTACGCATTGCGAAACAAACCGTTCGAGTACAATCGAGCGTCCCGACGGACCGTGTCTTTGTGCGGCGTACGATCGCGACGAATTTATCGACTACACGCTATACGGGGTAATTTTTCTGTTTTCATCCGAACGGAATTTCTTTCGAGAATTTCAGAAACAAGCGGCTCTTAACGGCGTTACGCCGCTATATTATTGTTCGTCGCGTTTATTTTCGGCCGTTAAACGACCGCTTACTTTTGATTCTCAAATGGCGACCTAATATTAAAAAACTGACGTTTTTGATTTCCGCCGAGGAGATGTTCCATTTCCGAATTTGGATAGAGGCCCGAAAAAAAAAAAAAAAAAACTATTAAAACGCCATGTCGCCACCCGAATTACGCTCTACTACTCCGCCCCTAAACAAAAACCCGGTGGCGTAATCGGGAAGGAGGTTCCACCGCCCCCCAAACGGCTTAAATAATTTATAAAAACACATAGGCAATTTAACATCGAAATGCATATATTTTAGCTAAGTTACGTGGAAAATCTTGATGTAATGATTGGAAATTGGCTTTTTGTAGGATCCGGCTTTTAGATTACCAATTCCTCTTTAGTTGAGTCGGATAGAGAAAACGATTTTACGATTCTTACGTGCTTCATCTTCTTCCATTGATAATTTCCGGATACGCCCCTATACCCAAACTTAAAAGTGGAATGTATCGCCAACGGGGAATCAAAAATGTCAACGTCAAAATGTATTCATACTAATATCCTATCTATTTGTTGATTTTTTTTTTTTTTTTAACATAGCTTGTCATTTGAACATTAATGTAAAATTTTAGAGCTGCTTGTTTCTTAAATTTCCATTGTAAATAAGTAAAAAATACTTTGTAAAACGAAGAGCGTTTTACGTTAAACAAATGACACCTGTTCAACGTACGAGCGTGCGCGCGCCTATATTATGACGCAGAGACAGCGGAAAGGTTTTTTTTTTTTACCTCGAATCGCCGATTCAATTTTTCGCCCGACCGCCCGCCGAAATACTACCGCCCCACCACACTTTGTCCGTTATCTAAAACCGTTCACATTTTCCGCGATATTTTACGGTTTCCCGGGGGGTAGTTGATGAAATTCATCAAATTTCCTCGGTCCAAAGTTCTGTTAATGATTTCTCGTTTTGCGAAAACACAACAGCGTTCGTTGTATCACCCGCACGACCCGCCCGCCCGTTTTTCCGCGAATCGCGCGGTTCAAACACGAGCGCCGTTCGCGCCGCCGCCGTTTCAACGTGTAACGAAATAGCGTCCACGATGGCGCGGTTACCGTCGGCCGTAAACCAAACGGTTATCCGCGTATTACCACAACAGTGTCAGACACCGTACCGTGTGCCCGCGTTACACGCGAACGTCGTTTTTATCGTTTTACCGCCGTTACACTGTTGTTGTCGTCGTGTTATTATCGCGCGGTATTCGACCGGTTTAAAAATATCGGCGATAATATCGTTATTGCCGTTGTAACGCGGGACCGTCACGGCGCATATTCCCCGTAATATTATAACATCCGGATACCAGCCACGCAATATACACGCTCCTGATCGCGGCTATTACCGTTGTGCGCGGTACAGCCGAGTAGACCGGTACGGTACAATAACATTTCGATAATAATATTTTCGTATCTTGTAACGCGGTCTACGGCGTTCTAACGGTAACGACGAACGGTCGCGTTCGAATCGCCACATCACACTTGCCGGTTACTTACCCACGTGTCTACGTAACGGCTGCGGCGGCGCTATTGGGAAACCTCCGAATCGCGCGTAAACGATATACGCGTAACGCCCGATCGTCATAAAAAAAAAAAATAAAAAAATAAACAACCCGTATTTTCTCACATTTTCCCGCGCGTCGCAATACAACTCGAAACGACGCGGCGGCCGACTTCTTGGCGGCGAAGACGGAATTCCTCGGCTAATTTGTCAGAGGTTTTTAAGAAACGAGCGGCTCTATTATGATAACGTTACGCGTTCCCGTTATTTTTCGTCGCCGTTTTTTCCGGGGCTATACGCTCGGTCTTTTTTATTTATTTTTTTTTTTTTAAATATTACCAATTCTACCGACACAATATAGACAAAGGTTTGGTCGGTATTGGGGAAAAAAAATAAACAATAATAGTAATGATAATATTAATGTCGGCGCAGGTATTGAATTTTTCAATTTCCGTCGACCGGCCGTTGACGAGATGTCCATGACTTCGCGCGTCGAATATTTTATTCGAAAACATGTCTTGATCCCCAACAATTTTCCTATGAAATCAAAAAAATATCCGATAGCAAATGTCGATAAGTGTTGGTTTTGGTTTTGTCGCCAACACGTACACGTAAATAACGTGATCAAAATACTAATAACCTTGCCGGTTTACCGGGATTCTGCTCAGAATCGTTTTTGATCGCACGACCAATTGCTTTTAGTACAAAAAAAATTTAATAATCGTTCTATATATTGCATACCATATCGACTTTACTTCCACAACAGTGACAGTGGTGTGCCCAGGATTGAAATTCAGAACATGTCCGATTATAAGTATAATTAATTTGTCGTGCCATCTCCCTTCAGCGAATCTCTTTTTGCCGGCCGAAAAAATCGGCTCTTATACGGATCGAAATAATAATCCTATTTTGCCCTAATCTCATATTTTAAATTTTTGTTCTCACTTCGATTTGTAAAAACACATTTTTTTTTTTTTTTTAATTCAAAATAATTAACGATAATTGTATAAATTGAAACTTGTTAATTTGCTTGGAAGTCGGTCGTATATGAATACATAAATCGAATATTCTATTATTAAATTTAGCAAACTCATCAATACTCTTTGTAGGGCATCGAATTAACTCTGTACTAAACTCAATTTGAATTTTTATCGTAAAAAAAATTGTGTGCGACAAAGAGAGGGGGGAAAAAAGTTACCTTGTCAAATATCACTCACGTAGGATGCAAACATATCAAGGTAGGTCTGTGCCTACCGGACCTACACGCCACTGAACGGCAATGCGAAGTTTTCTCGTATTCGCGATGTCATCGAACAAATAGAAACCACGTCGCGAACATATTGCAAGTTTTATTTTACTTTGTTTTTTTTTTATATAGTGAAAATTTTATTTTTTTATTATATTTTCAAGTCCGCGCGAAACACGGTTTTTCACGGACGATTTTATGGACGAGGAGGTTCCACGTCCCCAAATATTATTGTCACGTCCCGCAGCAGTTTCCAATTTTCTAAAATAATTGATTCCATTAATTGGTTCGATACCTATATGTTATATGCGTATAATATGCGCGATCGTTTTGTATATTCCTTTTTGTCTCGCGCGTAACGGAAAACCGTTTCTCGATAAATAATTGTATTATCATCACCGGTGGACTGTGAATTTTTTTAACGGGTCCCGCCGGATGATTTGAAAACAAATTAACAACATTTTTTTTTTTAACCAATTACCACGGTTTAATTATATTATACACCTAATTGCGTATATAAAAATAAAATATAAACCGAAATAACGGAGCCGTTTATGAGTTAATCGAGTACTAAATTAACTATACTTATTGCGAGCCGCGTTTCCTGAATGAATATGATTCGACAATATATTTTAATAATTTTACGAGAACTGGGTCGAGCGGAAACCCGCGGCACACTCGGAATTTTTTAAACTCCTGTTCGAAAAGTTGAGCGAAGACGTAATACAATGTCGAACGCTCGTTTTGAATTTGATGTGTCTCTATGCGACGCATTATTGAAATTGAAAAACTTTTTTTACCGGTTGCGTATAGTTTATATTGAAAAAAAAATACCTTTATAACTTGTACATCGCGTAAGCTTGTTTTTATATAGGAGTTTTTTTTTTCTCTTAATAGCTTTATTATTTTTTCTCCCACGCATACGCACACAGCATTGCAGGAGATTATGAAACTTTGTTACGGGCCAAATGCCTACCTTCCCACCCTACCCATACTTATACCGTAAGAAAAAATAGATCCTATAGGCCATATAATGTTCAAGCCGAACGAGAGATATAGAAAATAAAATTATTATTACGATCTCGGGCTGTCGGTTATGTTATAACACGAATAACTGTAAAACTGTTTGAGGGATAGTCGCGGTGCCAATCCAATCATTTTTTTTTTTTTTTTTTTAAAGTAACCGTGCGAAGTTGTAGCGTGTATAAGACGGGGGCGTTTGGTATTCGAATAATAATAATAATAATATATACGTGTATAATATTTTTACACTCCGGATGCATTTTGATGAAATGTATCGGCGAACCAGGCCAGGCTATTTTTTCACGGGAATACAAAAAAAAAAAAAAAAATTGTAATATAATAATTGTAGTATTTAAAATTATTAGTAAGATCGAAAATCCGAAACCTAATTGTAATTTTTCGAACACACATTATACTTCAGGAGTCTCGCGTAATATTCTCTATTGGAAATAATCAAAACACGAACGTCGCCGAAAAGTGGAGTTGTCTGGTCACAAAACCTTTCAATTGCTCACACATTGCTATATTTCGGTTTTCATTTTATATTCACGATCGGTAAAGGTATACGTATGTACCTTTAAGAGTACTATAATTATTGCACCATGAAAAACACGATTAAAAAACAACAAATTACTATCAAAAACTTAGCGCAGTAAAACTAATATGTAAAACATGCGTATTTTTTTTCAAATTTTAGTGTTTTTAAAGGTCACACGACATTTTATTGGTTTTTATTATTTTCCGACAGAGCACTCGTTCCCGTGTATTTCGCTTCCCATCCCGATTCTAGATGAGAAAAACAAGAAATACGTCCGTTTGTAATATTTTGTGCATTAAAAACACACACACACACACACACACGCACACGCACACACTGTAAAACACGTGTTTTATTGAACTATGGAATTTATTGGAATGCACAGGCTAAAATTGTTTACACATCGACCAAAAAAAAAAAAATAAGCGACTAAAATATGTTTCGAACGTGACGACTGTGGCGTATTATACTGCGCCCATGAGACTTCATAGTTTATAGACTAAACAAGTGAAATAGGTTCGGCCAAAAATGATATAGTCCGTTTAGAATTATACGCAGTTAT